TTAAAACAGGTTTTCACCTACCTCTTTTTATTAATGTCTTTTTTTCTGTGTCCGCATAAAAGAAACTGATTATTTTTGCACTTGTTATGTACTTTTTTTTTTGTCTGAATCACATATTTAGACACTGAGTTTATAGTCACACATTACATATTTAAGTGAATAAATGCACATTTACTGAACATTGCAAGTGTCTGAAATCTTTACAGTGATACTCTATTAGCTTATTTATATTACAGAAACCATCCCTAAATAAATAAAAGCTTTTCATCTTCTGATGCCCCAATACCACTTACTGAAATTTCCTATGTGACAGTATAGTGGAGCACACAAGCTGGTGTTAAGCTGATGATACTAATACTGTATCATAGCTGCTGTATGTTTGGTCTGAAAACAAGATGCCTCACATTTACCTTATCCCTAGAGGCAAAGGTTTCTCACTGCAGACTCATCCCACAAACATGCTCTCAAATCTTGTGGAAACCCTCTCTAGAGGAGTGGAGATTGGTATATTTGCGAATTGGAAGCCAACCCCATATTGACATCCATGGTTTTAGAATAGGAGCTCATTTTAATGAGATGGTCAGTTGTCCACAAACCTTGCATGTGGCATGTGTGTGTATGTAAATATATACATACACACTGCCCGCCCCCCCCCCCCCCCCCAAAAAAAATGATGGGGTCCACATAACCTTTATGTGAGAAGTTATGATGACATTCCATGCAACCTTGACCACTCTCACTGCTGGCCCTACTCTCTCTTCTTGCCACTGTTGCTACTGTTGCCAGCCCATTCCATGCTGTCAAGGCATCTACTGGAAGTCAAGCATAGACATCTGCATGAATGACAGCTGAATCAATAATAATGAAAATGTGGGTCAAGCAGTAAGAGCAGCACTGAAAGTCTGTATGCAGTAGCTGCAGATCATTTAGCTGAAAGTATACACAATTCAGACCATGAGATCTGTGTTTGTACACCAATGCCTATTTTAATGGTCTAGGCCCTGGTGCCCAACCTGTGGCCCTGAGGCCACACACAGCCCTTTAGAACTTATTGTATGGCCCTCAGGGCCCCTGTAGACAGTAGTTTGTATTTTGTTTCTGCCTAAGTGCTTACTTAAGCCCGTGAAGTGAAATATACTTGATGCTGGATTCTAGTAGTTAAATAGTTTGATTTCTTTCACACTACTTTTTATGTGCTGTCCACGCCTTTTCTCTTTTTATGTTTTTTCCTCTGATCCTAAAATGACTCTGGCTATGACACAAGTATTTAGTTAAGGAGGAGTAGGGAACACAAATGTGAAAGCATTCAATTGTTATTGCAGAAATTATGTAATTGTGACACATTGGAATAGTGGTTAGCACTTCTGCCTTGCAACATTGGGGGTCATTGGTTCAAATCCTAGTCATGACACCATCTGCAATGATTTAGCATGTTCTCCCTGTGCTTGTGTTGGTTTCCTCCTACCCTCTATAAGACATTCTGGTAGGTTAATTGTCCCTGTATGTGTGCATGTGAGATAGGGACCTTAGATTGTAAGCTCGTTGAGGGCAGGGACTGATGTGAATGTGCACTGTGTAAAGCGCTGCGCAAATTGTCAGCACTATATAAATACCTTTAATAAATAAATAATATGTCTCCAGTCTTTGACTGTCTCCTGAAGTATACCAACATTTCCTGTAGCATGTTTTCAGTCTCTGACCATCTCTTATCATGCCCACAGTCTTTAAACATCTCCTATTGCATGTCTGCTGTCTCTGACAGTTTTTTGTAGCATTACACTGATTGAATATTTTCTGCCCTTTGGTGATGTCAGGGCCTCCTATTATACACCAGTTGACACAGTGTACGGTAAACAAATTACTAAAAGAACAAAAAAACTTGGGAGGTTATTATCAAAAAGAAATTTGAGGCCATTTCTCCACTGTTCTTCACCTATTGCACAAAGATAAGCTGAAATTCCCTGATTATATGAAACTTGTTTGCTGTTTCTTCTAAGGGTATTATCGTCCACAAATCTACATATACCCCAGTTTTTTTCCACTGAAATATATTTTCATGACCTCATTCTTGAATACAAACTCCTGCACAACAAGTTCAGTTATGCAGTGTTCTACTTGAGTAGGCATGTAAAAAAAAAAAAACCATATGACATGGTTTCTTACAAGCTAGAAATGTAATATCATTCAGTGAATGTAACCTATGTGTGTACTGCATATTTTGTTTACTTCACTTCAAAAGCTTGTCATATTCCAGCTCTATACAACGCTGGAGTGTGAAAGCTGAGTTCTGCCAATGGAAGATTACAATAATTATAACCATTACAGAAAAATAAGAGAAGAGTTCGTGCTGTTCTATAGCATTATGGATAGCTATGTTCACAAACAAATTAATTAGCTGAAAGAGATTGAGCAATATGCAGCTGGATCTTACAGTAATTCTCAGTGCAGATGGAACAAGGCCTGGACAGTTTTCATCTTTGGAAATCAAATTTTGATGATGTATTTTGGCAAGCGGAATCTCTGTCCTAAAAAAGCACATGATCGGAACACTGACAAGCTCACTACCCAGTTTGACTACGTATGATGCATTTAGAACTTGGTTCTTTGTGTGAAAGATACCTGGCATGGTAAACACGACGCCCTATACAATAGAGCAAAACATTGAACCACTTAATATCTATCATCATACAATGTTTTACTTTAAATTATAAAGATTCAATGAGGGAAATGTATCAAAACTAGAGCAGACAGAATCTGGAACAGTTGTCCATGGCAACCAATCAGCTTCTATCTTTTATTTTCAAAGCTTAACTGAACAAACTGAAGAGAGAAGCTGATTGTTTACTATGGGTATCTGCCACTGATTGTGTCTGCTCCAATTTTTATAATTTCCCCCCAATATGTTTTAAATACCATAAAATCAATATACCCTGCTTTCTTCTTTCTGAGTTTGGTTCGGCACAGTGGCACCTGGGTACAATGATATGACCACAGAGATAAGTATGGTTTATAGTGTCTGTGTTTACTAGGTTGGTGGAAGCCTTGGCTGTGCACCAGTGTTCCATTAAACTCTATTGCAGGAAGGAGGTAAAGCACTCTCTGTTTGTCTTGTAAAAATATATAAAAATATTTACCTGAATCCACCAGACACAAGTATGATGGCTAATATATTAAAGGAGCTCATACCCAGTTTCCTGGTTTCCGAGGACACCAAATGACCATATTCTATTACACCACGTAGTCACGTAATTTTAGCTAAAATTCAATTTTTGTTTTAGAGAGCATTAGAAAGCATTTGAACCTCTGTTTTGCCTTTATTGGTGTCTTTCTCTCTGCAGGGGAGATTGCCTCTCACATCCTGTCCTAGAGATAACCTGACACTCCTTGGCACAGAGGATGTCTCCAAAACAGGAAATGAGTGTCGCCAACAGGTTCACACACAACAATAAAAAGTCAAAGGATTTAAATTTAACATTTCCAGTCCCAGTGACAGGCAAACAGAAGTAGCAATCTCCTCAACAACGATGAAACACAAAAATAAATACCCATCAGAGATTTGAACATTCAGTGCTGGAGGATCGGAGAGGGGAGGGGGGAATCCCTGTGGGGAGCGGTGACTGACAGTCACCACTCTCTGCAGGGAGATGTTCGGGAAGTGAGCAGATCAGTGGTATGTGTTCACTCACTTCCCGATTAATACAGCCGACCTGGTACAGCTGCAGTGTCACACGTCGGCTCTAACTATGGGGATGAGTGTAATTCACTTTCCCCATAGTTACCTTTTTAAGAAAACAATTCCATTACAGGAGAAGCTCTTCAGTTCTACGAGTATGCAGGCATGATGCCACCCAGCCAAGTTTACTGTAAAAAAAACTGGCATACATGCTGTTGATTACAGTTTAGAAGTGTTTATATGTTAATTATATACTGACAAAGCAGGCCTAATGTTTATCTGAACTTGCATGTCTTTGGTGCACAGAATGAACCATAAACTCCACTGGGACAGGGATTAATGAATAATGAGCAAACATTCTTGCTAAAGTGCTTTGTAACATGTAACTGTTTTACTTTGGACATAAAATAATAATCATTACAGATTTTGTTGAGAAACTTTCTGCCTCTTTTGTATAACTGGTGCTGTTGAAGTAAAGGTCAGTAAAAGCTGTATACTTACTAAAATGTTATCTGCATATATACTGTATGTACTCTGTGTGTGTGTATGTAATATATATATAGTGTATATACTGTAAATATATATATATATTTGAGTGTGAAGTAAAATCTGACCACTCTGCTACCTGTGGCGTTGTGCGCTGTATGTAGAAAGCAAAACTTTTAGAGTTTAAAACCTGAGGTTTTGTCTGTGTCCCATTGGGGAGATTCCCCTTCACACATACGATAGGAAGTGAGAGGATATCTGTTTAAAATTGGAGTAAATCCCCTCTTAGGAAGCTGTCAAGGGAAGAGGTGTCCCTATTGAAAGATTATTTTTTTCCTATTTCTTTTCTGGTGACAACTGTACACTTTTGGATTTCCCATCCCTTTCTGTCTCCGTGGCCATGTTCACCAGGAGAAGATTAGTCCCCCCAGTAGGACACAGACAGCAATAAAAACCTAGCAAAAGTTTTAACTCTTTCAAACGTTTTCCAAAACATGTACAAGTTTTTGGCTTTTCATGTGAACATGCAGCTTGTAAGGTGGACAGAAGTGGCGGCAAGAGGAAAGCATTGTAGGCAAATGCAGCCAGGGGCACCTATCTCATCTTGTAATATAGGCAATTATAACAAGGATTGTAACTGTTCCAATTAATGTTGTTGTCTGCCCACATGTATCTTGCCTACACTCCTACACATGAGATCCACCAGAAAATGCTTAGATCAGGCAACTGTTATCTCTGCTCAGTGTGCTTCTGGCAGCAGTAGAGAGCTTGTGATAGGATCCATGTGAAGAAAATCTAAGGAATTTTTTTAAATCTTATTTTATTTTACATAATGTTACAGATATGATTTCAAAGTGGTGCCAACAAATCCTCTCGGTGAGGGTCCAGTCAGCGCAACAGTGAAATTTAGCACAGAATCAGGTAATGTTAAACATATTTAATGGTCGTATATAAATTACTAGAATCTGTAGAAGAAAACATTACACTCTCACATTTTCTACCCATTTATTAGATATTGTTATACTGTTCAAACTATTTTCTTGCTTTGCTGTAGATGCCACAAGTAATTGTTTCACATTCCCAACTTTCTGAGTTGAGAAAGAGGGACACACCTTCCAGCACAATGTATTTAGGTAATGAACACTAGACTTGTGCGCCGTCAAAAAATTAGTTCCGTTTCATAATATCCATTATTTCGTATTTCGTAATTCGTATCCGAAACTCAATTCGGATTCGTACGAAATACGGATTTTCATTAGTTTCGGCACATTTTCGTAACTTTACGAACATTCGTTATGATGAAGATAAAAAGCAAAGTCGATGTGGTAGTTGTTTTTTTATCCGAAATACGAATTCCGTTAACGGATTCCCTATCCGAATTTCGTATTTCGGACTTAAAAAAAACTACCATCAACTCCAATATAAATGTACTTTGCTTTTTACCTTCAATAAAACGAATGTTTGTAATGGAACGAAAATACGTCAACGGAATTTCGTATTTCCTGCCTGTATTTGTAATGCAACTCTCAGCATCAGAAGAGAACCTCTGATTGGTCAACCAAAACGAAATACGAATTCCGTTAACGGATTCCGTATCCGAATTTCGTATTTCGAACTTAAAGAAAAACTACTATCAACTCCAATATAAATGTACTTTGCTTTTTAACTTCAATATATAACGAATGTTCGTAACGGAACGAAAATACGTCAACGGAATTTCGTATTTCCTGCCTGTATTTGTAATGCAACTCTCAGCATCAGAAGAGAACCTCTGATTGGTCAACCAAAACGAAATACGAATTCCGTTAACGGATTCCGTATCTGAATTTCGTATTTCGGATATAAATTCGGAAACTGCAATTCTGATTTCGTATGCTTACAAATCTACGAATTTCAGGAAAATTTGTACGAATTTCGATTCGTAACGAAACGAATTGCACATGTCTAATGAACACACCCCTGCCATGTCCCCAGTAATACAGGCCAGTTATGCAAAGAATGTATATGCCAAAAATGATTGGTAAAACCCAGAATTGTTGTTTCCACCTTTTCTTTTCCTTTTATACTGACATTTCAAAACAGTAAACATGAAAATTAAGAGATAGGATGAAGGAAGTGCAGAATAACACTTTTGGTGGTAAATAGCACATTTTCATAGATATCTGTACATCAGACCAAAAAGAGGGACAACTGAGGAGGACATGATGGGGGGATTTGGTTCAAGATGAGAGACAGTCTTTCAAAGTAAAGGATAGTTGAGAGGTATTGTTTTATATGGCACACTTGTATGAATGATTTGTAAAAGTGCTTAGCAGACACTCCTGTGTCTGCTAAACCTGGATACAAAATTTCAGTCTTCTGCCTGGTTGTGTATCTTCTAACATCCAGGCAGGAGGTGTGGGGCAGTCATAGTTAGCTATTACATGTGCTTTTACCTGTATTTCTTAGGACACGGATCTAAGTGCCAGTCACTGCCAGTTAGACGCACGTACTTGAAAGAGCCTATCAAAAAAGTTGAACCATTCTAACAATCTTTTACAAATAAGCTTATATGAATCAATTTACATTTAAATAGATGTTTATTCCTCATTTCCTAACCTATTAAAAACATTAAATATCAAAATACCCCACTCATCACTAATCCCTCTAAGATAAACAATAGGTTCAAATAGAATGCAATTCAAACATTTATCTGCTTCTTTATATAAAATGTTTTCAAAAATATACTATATGGTCAAAGGTTTGTGGACACACGACAATCAAATCTATATTTTTTGGTGAAAAGTATGTACAACCCTGAATATTATTAAGTTCAGATGTTTCTTGTGAAGGGTACTGTTACAGCATACAAACACATTTTAGATATGTGTGTCCTTCCAACCTTGGGTATGTTTGGGGAAGGCCCTATTCTGTTCAGCATGACTGAGCTCTGGGCACAAAGCCAGGTCCATAAATACATGGTTTGATGTGTTTGCCGTGGAGGAACTTCAGTGGCCCTGACCTCAACCCTATTAAACACCCATGGGATGAATTAGAATTGTAGATTGTAAGTCAAGTCTTCTCATCCAACATCTGTACCTGACTTAGAAAATGCTCTTTTGGCTAAATGGGGACACATTTCAACAGACACACTCCAAAACAGAAGAGGCTTGGAAAAAGTTGGAAGTTGATCTCCATTAAAATCATAATTATCACTGAGATATTATTTTCTACTGTTATAAGTGATTTTCATTGATGGCATAGATTTACTTTTCAAAGTCACCACACAGGGCAAGGCAATGAGTTCACTTTAATGTTGGCTCCAGAGCTGCTTACAATAATCTTCCATTTGTACCCTGGCTGCACCATTATTAAAATTAATTCCATGAAGCGGAAGAGTAAGGTGTCCCTTACTCATAAATTACCTGGATTTTAATAAATAAGCACTCCATATTGGATCACACTTATGTACAGTATACTGTATACCAAATAGGACGGGCCCACTTCCAAGTGCCCTATAGGACCCTTTCCCAATTCTGTAAGTAGTTGAAGTGATTAATCTGCCATATTGAACATTCACTTACTGCAAATCAGTCCAAACCTAGTACAACTCTGGTTTGTGCAAATGAATCCAGTCATCATTATGTGCTGCTTTGAGCAATCAATCAGAGTGTATCTTGTATTGCTCTAGCTAGTTTTGCGTAAATTCCATTTGGTTTGTATAGGATATCACACTCTCTGCATTGTTTATTGAATAAGCCTGTTGAAATGTAAACTAGAAAATATTAAATTACTGTACAGTAAATGACATAATATGACATAATATCCAAACAGTTCAGGCAATGGTCTATAACAAACATTGCTTGTGTAAACACATTTGTAAATGTAATCTGCATTTTATTTTCAACATACATCGGATTCCCATTTGGGTAGCATAAGAAAGCGCCTAGTAATCTAGAACACACAAATTATCCACTGCCCAATGCGGGAGGGATATTTCATATTTATTTTAACAAAGAACTAATCAATCGGCATTGATGTCAAAAGAAAAATGCATTTGTTTTTTTAAAAAGTTTAGATTTTGAGGTATTAAGTTTCTAATGACAGCTGAAAAATCCAAAGCTATAATTTAGAAATATTAGGCATCATGGGAATCTGCGAGAGATTTGTGTTCCAGAGCAACATCTCCAGCTGCCTCCACATCTGGTCATAATCTCTGTGCGTTGAGAAACATGCTAGAATAATGGCCACGTGTTCTCTGTCTGTCTCTGCGCTTGTTGGATTGCAGGGCTCATGAAAGTGACAGGTATATTGCCTTACGTCAGGTGTAAATAAATGTGCTTGTTTCCATGTCCCAGCCAAGGCAAGATAATGATGACACTGAAAAGGTCTTTCCTATCATTTGTATACAGTAACTTATAACTATTTTTTCCTCTCTGCAGCTGATCCAAGAGTGAGCGAGCCAGTTGCAGGTAAGAAACACTTTTTTTAGATCAGTAAAAAGTTGCCTAATCCAAAATACTTTCATAATATATTTACTGTGTGGCAATGCATTGTAAAATAATATGTGAAAAATACAATAGCTCATTATTTGGCAAATTTGATACAAAATGGCAAAATGCATTAAAGTGACAATAAACTCAGGAGTTAAATCTTAAAAATGCATTCAACTACCCTATTTTTAACAAAAATGCATCTTATTTGTCTATCACTCGGCTGTAGATCCTCAAATCATCTCTGATTTGGTGATTAAAATGTCTTTCTTTCTGGAGGGTGGCTACTTTTGTTCCCCATGGTCCTTATGTGTGTTGTAAAGTAGCCACTGTTCCAAGCTTGCTCCCATGATGTTCTACAATCTCAATACAAATGAGTAAACTAAACTTGAGATTGTAGTCCATCACGGGATCGAGCTTGGAGCGGTGACTACTTTACAACACACACAGGGACCATGAGGAACAAAATTAGCCACCCTCCAGAAGGAAGGAAGGACAGTGTCAGCACCAATTCAGAGATGATTTGAGGATCTGCAGCTGAGTGATACACAGATAGGATACATTTTTGTTAATAGTTGGGGTACTTGAATGTATTTATAAGATTTAACTCCTGAGTTTAGAGTCACTTTAAGCTTATTTTAGTGGGCTGTAGAATAAGCAATAAGGTGGGAGGAGCGATGCAACAAATCAACCAGGTGGGCGTCCAGGCACACACATGACCAGAATCATCTCCAATCCTATCATAGCAGACAAAGCAAAAATACTCAAAGTAACCTCAGCATTATCTCAAAGGGCAATCTGATAATCAATTAAATACGTTTAAAACAACAAACAAACCTACTAGGACGTATGTTGTAAAGGAGCTTGTACAAAGGTTAAGAGTATAGATGTAGAAATCAGTTGGGCCTGTATATGGCCAGTAGTTTACTGTATATAGCCAGTAGTTCTAGTAGGAAAACCGCCAGAATTGTTTGTAAAGTAGTCGCCTACCCTGATGGTGACATAGTAAAGCATATGTGGTCAGTAATTGCTAAACTTATCTGGTTTTAAGCAGCCATGTGGGTATAGCTATAAAAAGCCCATAAATACCTGAGATTTAGATTATCTGCATCTTTCATTTACCTTAAGTGTGTGTCCATCCAGTTTGCAGTATGACAAAAATGGAGAGGGGGGAGCAGTCATTATATAACTGCTGTTGCCTATTAGTCAACCCCCCAACAATTGATGTCAGCTGGTGTGTATGGCAGCAGGGAGGTCCAATGCACACCAAAAAAAAAGGATTAAAAAAAAAAGAAGAAAATGCAACGTCCGCATCAGTGACAGTCCTAGATCCAGCCCCTCCCCCAGACAGACATCCCAATCCAAATGAAGCAGGAAAGCGTCTGACAAGGGAAGGAGATCAACCCAGACATAAACCATCACTGCATCCGGACGCCCAAACCTCCAACGCCCATCTACTCGATCAAACATACTATACATCCCATCTCAAAAATCCCATTTGTGTTAGTAATAACTTTGATAAACAATATATCATAGCCTATCATCAAAGCATACATCAATAAGTGGTAAAAACCAAATAGTGTCCTCCATTAAAATGTTGGACTTTTTGTTAACATGAAAAACATCTCGCCAAAGCATACATCCAGCAAGATGGTCAATAAATGCAAGAATTAATATCAAATTGTGAATGACATAGTATGAAGCGGAAAGTGTATATGTACAACATAGGTATCATATAATAATGAAAGCTTACACAGGGAGATTATTAGGCCAGCAAAGGAGTCAATAAATGCAAAAGTCCACATCCAATACCAAATGGTCAAAACTTAAAAAGAAAAGCTGGAGTCATTCTATATGATGTCCTAACCTAGCCACCTAATTGAACTGGGTACGGTGAGGGGCAGGGGACATTTATAGTGACAAGGGGGTTTTTTGCTTGGTATGTTCTACAAAACCTTCCCAATGTTGCATAAGGAAGACAGTGATTTCATCTCATCAGTTTCCCATGCTCTGATTTATACTAGAAACTATACACCCCATAACTATAACACATGAAACGTATAAGCATACATTAAAATGTCAGAGACCATACTGTTTATTTAGCAGTATTCATTCTATTAGTCAGCCACAGACATGCATCTAAATGTTCCCAGAATATTTCAAAGCACAACAATATGCTTAGTGGAGCAAAGCTTAGTGGATGTAAATAAGATTTAAGGATGTGACAGAACAAAAGGGGGTGCATTCCACATATCCAGAATGACATCAGTTTTTTTTCTGAAACTTTAGATCAGGGGAAGATGTGCTCTGTGATCTGCTATTATGTATTGCATGTGTGCAGAAAATCAGTCATTTTATGAACACAATATTACGCTCCTACAGGGTGTATCCAGTTTCCAGAAGTGTTCTATTAATATGATGAATAGCTGGCATTCAATAATATTACATGGGATCCACATATAATCAAACATCAGATGGGCATCTTCCAAACAATGTTAGACGTCATCAAATGATATGCAATAGTAAATTCTAAATATATGTGCCTTCCCAGCAGCCCTTGTTTAGGCATACCGGCACAGATTTAAGGGCTCCTGAAATGGCCAATGCAGAGAATAAATATGGTTGGATTATGAAGGGAGGACTTCGCAATGCTTACAATGTCTGGATGTCAAAATGTTTTCTTCATTATAAAGAAGAAAGAGTTGAAGACATACACACAGGACTGCTTGCAATTTTCAACATGGCTCATGTTGCAATTTTTCCATGGACCGTATGTCACGCCTAGATTTTCAATACGTAAAATAACAGTAACAAAGGTGAACTTGTTTATACACATCACTAATATATTTTACAATGCATTTACATACTTCAGATATAGATATGCATCTTGTATATTTATATATAACACTCCTGTATATTTGTATTGGTATTTTCCCCCCGATTGTTTATTTTGAATAACTATTCATAGTAAAAAGATTTTTCTTACAGAACTTCAGTTTCTATGATAATGTTAGTAAGTCTGTCAGCAGAACCTAAAAACACACCAATTTGTAACACAGTTTCCTATACATTTCAAGTTTCAAGTTTACAACCAATGCATTTAAGAGCTTTGTTATAATTACGTGAACATAATCCTCAATGTAAAATGCAGTGAGAATTAAGAATTTGTTAACCCATTCTCCTACCATATGCACGCAGGATTTATCAAATTGGACATAGGAATCAAATGAGCTCTAAGTTACTGCATTAAAGTAAACCTTTCCTAAGAGAAATATGGGGACTGTGATTGCTGGCCTCCTGCTAAAAATGCTACTTGCTCGATTCCCCGGATTCGGTACTCTCTGAGTCACTGACTAGGAACAAATGTTCCAATAAGTTAAGTCGGAAATCCTTATATGCAATCCTATGGGTGTGGGAATCAAAGTATTGAAGCCAGAGTGTGACAACCAGGCAAATAGCATTTGCAGAATCAAAAGTCAGCAATGGAAACATACCAGTCCCCAGGAAAGATTTCCTTTAAAGCCAAACTCCTTAAAGCCGAACTCTGGGTTTCCTGGGTCACAAACCAGAAATAAATAGGCAGATAAACACTTGTGACTTTTTTTCATTTTTTGTGATCTACCCTTATTTCAGATTAACATTTTTAAAGTAATAAATCCAGTGGATAAGCATAATAGCCAGGCAGCTAGCATTTTTCAGATGGAGGTCAGCATTGGGCATCGATGTGTTTAAAAAAAAAAAAACTTGCTTCAAAGAGTTTTTTTAGTCTTTTTAAATTTTATTTAGATATGTATTTAAAGCTGAAATCTGGGATAAACAAATATTGTCTAAATATGTATTTCAATTGTGGTGTCCTTTTGTGTATTTCTTCCAAATTTGTGCAGTAATCGAGCATAAAACAGTTTCTGCAGGTTGCCTCTGTCCATGAGCCTCCTGTAATGCAGACCTTGTACAGGCTGACTGGCCTTGTTTACACCCCACTGTAGTATTTTGGCAGACAGCATGCTGGGTCCCACATATAGCTCTGCTTTCCGCATGATGTATGATGTAAATTATCATATCAGTGTGTGTTCATTTCTTTAAAATGGTGTTTCTGTTTATAGTTAGTAATTACACATATATATGGGGCAGCCATAATTGCTCTTTACTTATAGGGAGCTTGCTGTGAACCGATTTCCCTCAAGTCTGTCAGTGACACCCCCTTTCTATGCCCAATCAGTTGCAGCCCGGGCATTCCCCGCCCCTTTGTTACATCTAACTGCACAGCAGAGAATGCCCCGGCCGTAACTGATTGGGTCGGAAGGGGGAGTATCACTGACAGTTTTGCGTGGTCTTGGGTGAACTCCAAGCCCACGCACATCACTGCTTTTTACATGCAGGCTCTGCTTTCTGCTTTAGTGTGATGCAAGATGATTTTACTTTACTGCTTCTTCCCACAATACAAGTCTAGGAGTCCACCAAGCTATAGAAAAATATGTACCATGGGTGTGTCTGATATCTCAGCCACTATTAAACATTAGGCACTAATCTGGCTCTAGTGGCTAATCTATAAATATGTACATTTGATACATAACAAAAATATGAAAAAACCAATAAGAAAAAAATAATAAAAGCACATTACAATTAAGGTAAGACAGATATTTCAAAAATAACTCAAAATATGTGCACATTAAAAATACCCTATATTTTTCTTTAAATGATTACTACATGCTTGTTCCAATTCATTATTGACTGGCCAGCATGCTGCCCTAATACCAAATTTAAAAACAAAACAAACTAAAATTAGTGGTCTGTGAGTCGTATAAGTGTTATCGCCATAAAAGTTAACAACATTTTCTACATTTCAGAACAATTACTTACATAGCATATCATCCTATGTGTTGCTTTATTAACTCTTGACTTTCTCTTCACCGTACACAGCAGGAAAAGATGCAATATGGACAGAAATCAGGTTTAAGTCAGACTCCTATTCAGAATGCAGAGGGAAGCAATTTGTGAAGAGGACGTGGTATAAGAAATTTGTTGGCATTCAGCTGTGTAACTCTCTAAGATATAAGATTTACCTCAGCAACTCTCTTACAGGTAAAAAGAAAGACTGTATGAGTATATTTCTATACTACCCATACACATTTTGTAGTTAGTAGTACACATGCCAGTTTTTTAGCAATTTAAAGTCTAACTCTAGATTCAGCAGTTACCCCCCAGTCCTTCATCTCCCTGTGTTAAAAACACTCGGGCATCTAGGCGTGCGCATTGGGGTGTGCAGGTGTGCCTGGGCACACCCTAATCACCCCGAGCGCAAAATCAAGAACTGTGCTCTGATCGGAAGCTTGCTCAACCCAGTGGCGGCCAGGGATGTGCAGAGAACGAACACGTCTAAAGAGATGCCGGGGAGGATGTGTTTTATAAAACTGTGTATGTATGTATGTATGTATATATATATATATATATATACTTGGCCATACTACTCACCCTCTTTACACACCAGCTCTGCCCTCTGCATCTTCCTCTTCCGCTGGTCACTGCCCCCATTCCAAATTGGATGACCCCCAGCATCATGCAACTCCTTCTTGTGAACCCAGGCTCTCAATAACACACCCCCTATGCTTGCCATAATTGTGCAGTTTGGATTTACAACATGATGCATAGACTAGCATCCACAGGAGAAGGAGCAGATGAAGGATCATATTCATCATGTGACCAGCTGAAAAAAACTAAATGTAAGCTACAGTATGTCTAGTTTATTTAAAAATGTAGGTGTGGGGAGGGATGCAAGAGTGAAGAATAGGGGTAGGGAGAAGGGGATGCCAGAGTATGCTTTAATTAAACAAATGTAGGTGTGGGGAGGGATGCAGAGTGAAGGGCAGGGGTGGAGAGAGGGGGATGCCAGAATAGGCTTTAATTAAAAAAAATGTAGGTGTGGGGAGGGATGCAAGAGTGGAGGCAGAGATGGGGAGAGGGGAATGCCACAGTTGGGGTTTAAACCACGTTTAACAAGCTTTCCACTGATCATGATCAAGAAGCTCATGGAAACCTACACACAACTATATTCTTATTTATAAGGCAGGGATGGTGTTCTATTTCCTTGATCTCACTGTTTGCGTTTCTAAAAGGGCACCCAAGATCATTTCCCAATCTGACCATGAAGAGACAGATATTGGGGACACCAATCATCTTAAGTCTATGGGCTCTCTAAAAGCAAAAACACAGTTTCAGTCCAATTACAAATGGATGTACACAAATTTAACTATATGTGCCCTTTTTTGATAATACTGCGTGCGTTTTCAATCTTATCTGGTGTGAATAGGCTCCTAAACCTGAACTCAGGGTTTCCCTTCCCTCCCCAAATTTCCTGGACTGCAACATTTTTCCAAGATGCCCCCTCAGGCCGGAGCACAGTCACTGATAGCTGAACACCAGGTTGAGGTTTATGAAAAAACACCCAAGAACTGTATTTTGAATGCAGCTGATGTAAATACATGGAATTTTGATTCCAGCCTCATGTAATCTCCTGTACACCAGCACTGGGATAGGGAGGGACAGTACTAGGAGCCAATTGGGCAAGCTGCATTCCCAGGTGCTGACAATGAGCCTGCTGACATGAGTTGAGAGGAATGATATGAGCTATCTGCTGTTGTTCGTCCACTGTACATGCCCCGGTCATGGGATTAAGCTGCAGTAAAGAAAAGTCAGGTTGCCAACTTGGCTGTGCTAGCTGGCAGGGCTGTGCAAATCTTTGGATTGGGTGGAAAGACATACAAATCCATTGGCAGGCAAACTGATCCCTTATATGTATTTTAGTGTATTTCAGCTTTAAATGGGGCACATAAGCTACTTAGTTTTTATATACATTAAGGTCCGGAAATAATTGGACACTGAGACAAGTTTTGTTGTTTTGGCTGTTTACCAAAATACATTTTGTCACAGTTACAGTTAAATAAATAACCTGGGCTTAAAGTGCAGTCTATCAGCTTTAAATTGAGGGTTTATACAACCATATTGGAGGAAAAGTTTAGGAATTACAGCTCTTTAATATGCATCCCCTCTGAAATCCATCAGAGAGATAGCAGCAAGCAGGGGTAGGCACGGGATAGGCAGTGACCGAGGCTGTGGTGGACATTTTCCAAAGTACAGAGCCTAGTGAAGGACACCAAGGTACATTTCAGCAGTGCTGTCCTCTTCAAAGCCTTAAACCCTCCCCCACGTCAGCATTGGGTCCCTATTCAGCCTTGAACTGTTGTGAAGAATGTCACCAGGACACCGAAAAATCTTTTCAGGATCACCATCATTTTATTGAACAGTTGGCAAATGAATACAAGCGCTTTCGGGGACGCGCACGGTCCCTTCATTAGGTTTCACATCGTCAAAGTGCAAACATCAATGTGGGTTTAAATAGACATAGAGATGTGGACAACAAGCCACACTAGTTTCATCAATGCTGTCACGATATGTTTTCACCCCAGCGTCAGGCATCAAGACTCAGCACCCAGACTCAGCACTCAGCACCCAGACACAAACTCAGCACCCAGACACAAACTCAGCACCCAGACACAAACTCAGCACCCAGACTCAGCACACAGACCTCTGCTTGCTTACCTTTACATTCCAGCAGCAGCCACTCCCGACTTGCTCTTCTTCACTTCCACCCGCTAAAAAGAAAGCTCCGCCCCCGAAATGTACTGTACGGCTGCGGCGGACCCTGCAAGGGCCACTCGTGGACACCAGTACCAATCACTGGACAGCAGGAACATTAGGAGTGGCCAAATAAACAGTTTGGTACATTCTGAGAAAAAAAGAGCGCACTGGTGAGCTCTTCAACACAAAAAGACCTGGACATGCACGGAAATCAACAGTGGTGGATGATCGTAGGATCCTTTCCATGGTATAGAAAAACCCCTTCACAACATCCAGTCAAGAGAAGAACACTCTCCAGGAGGTAGGCATATTATTATCCAAGTCTATAAAGATTAGACTTCACAAGAGCAAATATAAAGGGTTCACCACAAGGTGCAAACCATTCATAAGCCTCAAAAAAATCTAAAAAAGCCAGCCCAGTTCTGGAAGAGCATTCTTTGGCCAGATGAAACTAAGATCAACCTGTACCAGAATGATGGGAAGAAAAAGTATGGAGGAGGCTTGCAATAGCTCATGATTCGAAGCATATCACATCATCTGTAAAACACAGTGGATGCAGTGTGATAGCATGGCCATACATGCAACTAAGCAGGACCAGTCAAATGGCATATGTCAGATGAAGAGGAATCTACAAGAAAAGGAGAGGCACATAGACATGGTGAACACCCATTGGGGACACAACCCTGCCACAATAGCAGATACAAGGTTAAAAGTGAGGTCCTCCCTTCTTTTACTAGTTTCGTGTAGGCCTATTCCTTACAAGCTCCAAAATCAAGGTATGAAAAGAAAGCAAAAAGATGAGGATGGTCATAGCTTAAATACTTCCAGTAACTGAATAGGCCGCTGCATTGTGTAAAAATAAGAGTTGCATGTGGAAACCTCAACATTGTCCTTAAAACTACACAAAACCTTTGTGCTATAAATCTGTCTGGTGCAAGCATTTATCTGCTATTACAATGTTTTTCCACAAACTGGATGAATATTATGGTTTCCAAAATATGCTTTTGTTGCTTCATTATGCATGTTAAAGCTGAAACATGCCTTTGGTAAACAATGTCTTCCATTCAAAGCTCTTTGTTATAATGAAGAAAAAACATAACTACTGCTGATGTGGAATGTATATCTGTAAAACGCAGCTAGAGGGAGGGGGATCTTACCAGACTGATAGGAAATGCACAATATATGGCCGTAGCCAAACATAGAGGACCTGGTACTTAGCAAATACCCAACATGTTCTTAAACTCTTTACAAAAATCACTAAACCAATTAGTTCATCCTGCCATCAAAGGAGTTTACAATTTAATGACCTAATCAAAAGCATGTAAACAGTGACAAACTAAAGCAAAGAAGAATGGGCAATCTCAACAACCCCTATATTGTTGGACTACAGGAAGAAGAAAAGCATCCATAAAACATGGGCAGAACGCATAAACTAGATCGCTGGAAGTTAAGCCAGGAACCAGAGTAGCAAGATAGCAGGGATAGCCAAAAGACACTGTACTTCTTGTGAAATCATTTCATTTAATTTCATTTGGTTCATTTCTCTGATGCCATTGCTAACAGTTTCCCATGCACATGTTTCGTATTAGGTTAATTATTTGCTTATGCTACTAAATCAAACAGAAACATGAGATGTGGGGGTACGGTATAGAAGCAGAAACTAGGAAAATGGCACACGAATGTGAAACTAATAGAGGATGGATATGGACAGGGTGGGCAAAGACTGAGCACTGATCCCCAGGAGAATATCCAAGCAAGGCAAAGTCCAGTGGGAAAAGTGCAAAAACCTAAATCAAGTATAATTTATACTTCAGTTAGCAGATTTTCCGGAAATCTAGTTGGTTGCAAAGGTTACTACACTTTGCACATTATTATTGTTATTTGTACTGCCTTACAAGTCACACGTTCATCTTCAAAAAACACATGCATGTGTTTGTCCATGTAGCGCCCCAGAAAAAAATAGGGCACCAGCTGTGCTGATAGGTCAGCTTGGAATATCTGAGCTAAATAAAACTCTATTGGGGAATTTATAAAAACTGGAGCACACACAATCTGGAGCAGCTGTGCATCTCAACCAATCAGCTTCTCTCTTCAGTTTGTTCAGTTAAGATTTGAAAATGAAAGAGAGAAGCTGATTGGTTGCCAAGCACAGCTGCTCCAAATTTTGTCTGCTCTAATTTTGAGAAGTTCTCAATACATGCGTATGAAAATGGCAATGAAAAAAAATACATAATCATTTAAGTATGCTTTAGTTTGTTTTAACTGTGGATGACGTAAACTGTTGATAAAGTTCTGTACCTGCGGTAGCATGGTGACATTAACATTTCTATTCCTAGGCACCTTTTATAACATAGGAGATCAGTCTGGCTATGGAGAGGATCATTGCCAGTTTGTTGACTCATTTCTTGATGGGAGAACAGGACAGCAACTTTTACCCGATCAACTGACAGCCAGAAAAGGTATTGCACTATATATGAACAGAATAATTGTGTTGACATTAATATTTGCTAGGTAAATGTTCTATGCCATGTGACAAAGCAAGAACCTACACATAGATTGGTCATTCTGAAAGTGTATGTAAAGCCAAAACCTTTTTTTTTTTTTTTTTTTGGTGGTTTTTGAAAAGTTTGGAACCTTTTTTTTTTTACTGTTGTACCCCTGCTGGGATGATTCACCCATACCTATTGGTGGAGATGACTATTATCTCCAGTACAGAAAGTTAGGGGTAATCCAACATTTGTACATTGTCACAAGAACAGAAGTTGAGGAGGAATATCCCAATGGGGAACCCTGTTGTAGTGAGAAAAGGGGCAATCCCATCCAGCTGATTTTTCTCTTTACTGAAATACCATACACTGTGCCTCTGCTCAAAGGTGCTGGAAAGAAGTGGGGGAAAAAACGGCTGGACCTGCAAGGTTTGTTGTCCTATTGGTGTTTCTGGACAATTAGAAAGTGTAAGAGTTGGTATTGGTGATCTGACTACTGTGCAGACAGCTTCTAAATTCCAGAGGTTCTTCACTGTCTCCTTGGTTTGTATTAGACATGTAAGCTGCAGAAAAATTTGGTTCGGGTATTTCGTTATTTTCGGGATTCGGATCTGAAATTCAATTTGGTTCAGGATTCAGATCCGAATTTTCGTTAGTTTCAGATGAGTTCATTAATATTTGTTGCGTATACCACAGAAAACCATATACAGATAATAAGCCCTTCACGATACCAACGCTAGCATCTGGGCTGTTTAAACAGACTCCCGGCAGCAAAAGCTCTGTTTGAACTTGTAAAGCCGACTGTCAGCTTTGCAATAGAAGCAATTCTGGCGACTCAGCTGTCACCAGATCGCTTCTATGGCCTGGTGAAGGGTACCCCCCGCCCGACACCACTGCCGTGCTTCCCAGGCTCTGTTGCCCCTCCTACAGGTCCGGGACCAGCTTCTCTGGTGTTGGCAGGGAGCTGGGGAGAAGATGGACGAACCTCCGTTCGTCGATCCCCTCCCCGTTCTCTGGGACCGGGAGCGATGCAGATTGCATCACTTCTAGTCCCATAGCTGTCAGTGCTGGACTCCTGAAGCCCAGCTATCAGCTATTGAAGTGCGATCTGCACTCCAATAGCTTATTTGGAGTGTAAAGGTGACACTGGGGGTCTTTTGGACCCCCAGCATCACCTTAAAGAGTACCTGCCACCACCATCTGCTATCACATGTGGGGATTGTAAGCCCCCTATGTGACAGCAATTAAAGTAAAGTATAAAAAATAAAAATAACAGTTTTTAAAATTAACATTACATTAAATGAATCTAAAAATACTGTAAATTTTTTTTAAAGTCCCACGCCCCCGCGAACACGCGCGTCGCCACGTTAACAAGTGTCGAGTGCGCCTATGTATGAGAACGACGAACGCGCTACACATGTTGGGTATCCCCACACACGTCAGAGTGAGAGTAACAATTCTAGGGCCAGTATTTTTGGGTATCTCTAAAGTGATGACCTGTGGGGGCTTTTAAAGTGTCTTCTATGGACTTTTTGGGGTACTGAAGTTTGTCGCCCTTTCACGGAAGCACACAATTTATTGCCTGGGCATGTTGAGTATCTATTTACTGGTTGTAACCTCATCTTTTATATTTCATTTTTTTTTTAAATGTATTGTGTTGTGGGGCATTTAAGTACATTTTTCACTAAATTTTGGGGTTTGATAAGGAGTTGCGCTAATACCATGCAACATAAATATTTGCAACTGCCGCCATTTTATTCTGTTGGGTCTTGGATTTCAGAAAATATATCATGTTTGGGGGTTTTAAGTAATTTTCAGGCCTAAAATGTGGAGTATAACATGGGTGCAAAAAATGGAAGAAAAAAAAAAGGTCTCACTCATGAAGGGGTTAATACTAAAGCTGAATCTCCTAGACCCAAATGGCATTCGGGATCCAAATTTGCCATTCGGGTCTGGGAGCCATATACATAAATTACTAAAGCTGAGGCTCCTGCTCCCATTCGGAAATTCAGATCCTTTATGCCATTTGGGTCTAGGAGCCTCAGCTTTAGTATTACATGTATATACAGTATATGGTTCCCATGTTGCCGTAACAAAAATTTTTATTCAGACCCATTTGGATGCATTAAACCGAAAAACACATCTGACTGGCCAGAAGAGTCACATGTCCGATTCAGTTTAATTTTTGAACGAAATTTGGACGGGATGCGAAATTCGGAAACAGAAATTCGGATTCAGACACATTCAGATGCATTGGGATTCGGAAATTCGGATGTGTCCGAATTTCAGAAAATGTTTCAGGCCACACAGGGTCCCCTTCATCAGGCTTGAAATCATTTCAAGCCTGATGAAGGGGACCCTGTGTAGTCCCGAAACGTTCCTATTTGTTTTGACATGAAGTATCAATAAACAGACGTGTTCTCCACTTCAATATGGTGTGCTGGTGAATCTTTAACAAGTTTCAGTATTGGCGGCGCGATCCAAGGTCACTTTGAGAACCCACGCTGACAGGGATAGTTGGTAAGGAGTGCAGCAGGATTCTGGAATGCATGCGAATTTCAGAAAAATTTTCAGAATTTTTATTCAGAACGAAACGAATTGCGCATGTCTAATTTGTATTGTCAAATTGTAGGATTGTGAATTAAATCACCACACTCCAGACACATCTTTATTCAATCCATGCATTCTCACACATTGTACAAAACAATATCCAATTTCAAGTCATCACAGTCCTGATACATTTTGTCCCTTAGTAAGCCCTGATGAAGGGGGTATTTGTATGAGCTCTCAAGTAACATGTTGGCTACTTCTGTACTTTCCCCTCAACCCTACATTGTATAACGATGTGTCTGGACTATTAAATAGAGTGCGACACTTCAATTCACAATCCTGCAATCTGTTCTGTGGATCTGTGCTTTTTAAACCTTTCTTGAAAATTCCCTCACCAGTCATCTGATCACCAGTCTGACATTTGGAAGCAAAGTCTTGATAGATGCAGGACTTTGCTTCCAAATGTCAGACTGGTGATCAGATGACTGGTGAGGGAATTTTCAAGAAAGGTTTAAAAAGCACAGATCCACAGAATAAACGAGGCAAAGGATTGCCTTGCCAGTCCTCAGATACAGATTCCTCTCCAGTCAGCAGCACAGTAATGACCAGTGGCGTAACAATCACTATAGCGACCCAGGTACCCGCTATGGGGCCCGGGGCACAGGGGGGCCCGGCAGGACATCTCCCTGATCACGTGCGGGCTGCCTGGGTTGCTATGGCATCTCAGGCTGCTTGCTGTCACTGGTGGCTGTGAGGAGGAACGAGTCGCTATGCACATGTGCAGCGGCAAGTTCCTCCTCACAGCCGCTGCTGAGTCGGTGACAACCAGCAGCTTCGGAGGAGGTGGCTGGGCCCGTTGTCAGCAGTGATGGAGGAGGTGGGGCCCAGCGATCGAGGAAGCGGGGCTTAGCAATGGGGAGGCGGGGCCAGCCAATCAAGGAGGCAGGGCCACCAATCTAGTAGGCGAGGCCCAGTGACTGAGGAGGCGGGGCCCACAAACGATCGTAGAGGAGAAGGAGGCGGACAGAGGATCGGAGCAGACAGGTAAGAGGGCTTGACCGCCCACCTGAGACCCTGCAGAGCCCACCATAGAGAGTCTTAGGTAATAACTTAATATACCCTTACTTAAGTTGTCCAGTTGCATCTTGCAGTCTCTCTTTTTGGAGTGTTAAAAACAGTTCTTTTAGCTGTCAGGAATAATACAGGGATGTAATCCACCCTATGCAGTATCTGCCTAAGAAGTCCAGGTGAATGTATTCACAGAGCAATTCATCCTGGCATTCAGTGATGGCCGGTGCAGAGGAAGTGGAGCCCTCAAGTGCATGCTTTAAAAAACCCACATAATTGTGCTCCACTTTAACCTCACACAGGAAATGGACATGCTGATCTAGGAAGATCTTCAGATTATAAAATGTCAAACTGTCAATGTCAGGACTACCAATTTAAAGAACGTTGCACTCCAGGACTCCTGCTCGTCACTCTGTACCTCCACTTTGTGTGAGTCAGGTGGACGTTAAAGTGTATTTCTGCTCATGCAACCAAACTGGGATAACACCTGCTTTATATTTGTTAGATTCACATAGTGTAACTTTAATAAGTATTTAATCATTTAAATTACTGCTTACTTTTTACTTGTTCTCTTCTTAATATTCCCAAACGGAAAAATCCTACCTAACTTTCCTTTCATCAAGGAAACGTGACACTGGTCCAGGAAGACAATAAATCACAGCAATCCTTTATAATCTAGGGGTCCACCTGAATCAGTGAATTTGTTTCCTGTATTTTGTGAGAACCGTGCATTCAGCTTGTGCGTCCTCTGGAGAAATTGTTCATCCTACCTCCGCACAGCCAATTTTGGAACTTGACTAAGTGATATCTCATGTGCTTTATGAAAGGGTTATTCACAAAAGGATGAAGTAGTTTGGAGAAGGCAGCAGAAGAGAACGCTCTAGGACAAAATAGCTGATATGGAAACATTCTCCAATTCAGCTATGTTGTCCAAAATGGCTCACTTCTTCAAACTCTTCATCCTTTTGTGAATAACCCCATTAATGTGAGTTCAGTAAGCAACAGAGGTTTTAGAACAGGCGTTAAGGAGACAGCGGTAAACATTTGAAAAGTCGCTCAGAGCTGCCCCTGCTGGCTGGATAGAAAACTGCATAATATACAAATTTTAGATGAACCAAATAAAACAAAAAAAACTTTTTACAATGTTTATTTTTGGATTGCTGACTATTCTGAAGTAAGATAAGTGTACACACAACCATTATCCTTGGGTTTAATCAAACCAATTTGGTTAGGATTTCTGGATGATTAGTAGCTACAAGCTAATGTATACTATGCTGATTTGTACTTTAGTAAGCACTATTAAGAGAAATGTATGCTGCAATAACAGAAGATCATTTATGAAAACACTTCAGGGGGGGGGGG